GGTGCTGACAGGCCCATTATCTCCAGCCAACCCCCGCAGCGTGTCTGTTTTTTCCGCACGAGTTGCCCGCAGCCTCGGTGACTCACTGGTTCAGGGTTTCGATTCCGGATGCGAGCATAACTCTGTTACGACTCCTTCTTCGATTTACACATCGCATCACGCTGCACGGCAATCAGCTGATGATCCGACTGATCCGGGTCTAATTCTAGATTCCAAGGTCATATTCAGCACGATGTCGCCACGCCCACGCAACGCCCCGTCACTGGAGAGCAGATGTACTCGAGGTACACTATCCTACCGATGCCGAGTCTGCAATGGGATCCATCCGTTGAAGAAGTGTCGGCGCTTCCTACGCCTTAGTGCCGAGGAGCGGCTCCGAGTGGTTCTCGTGAACCGCTATTGCTCGAGCTGCCTGGCCCACGAGCACTCCGACGGATCCTGCCGGCGTGGGGACGGCTGTAAGACGTGTGGTTAGGATCACCACACGCTGCTGCACCCCGGGACCAAGGAGCACCGCTCACCGCCCACGGGAGACAGTACACCTGGTGTCTCGCTCTCTCGTCGGCCGTCATCCGCCAACTCCCGGCGCGGTTCGGGTGCTTCTCGCCCTGCGTCCGCCATTTTCCGGCACTCACAAGCCGATCCACGGCCATCGACTTCCCGGCGCTCGTCGGCAACTCCTCGGCATTCTTTCGCCACTGGCTGGCAGTCGTCAAGCGCTCCACTGCTTTCGTCCGCCACTCATCGGGTGCCGTCCACCGCTTTTCCGCCCGCGTCATCCGCGCCTAGGCAACTTTCCGCCTCTCCTCGAGGGCCCCCGCAGGACGCGCTCGCTGCGCCCACCCTATCGTCGCTGCTGAGACGGAACAGCCTTCATCGACCGTGTACGCCCTCTAGCTGCAGTGACGCATAGCTAGCGACGAGGGATATGTTGCAACCCGAGCGATTGCAAGGGGGGGAGGATGTTTACGTGAGGGGCCGGTGTGCCGCAACTTTAAGAGCGCACCCGCGCTGAAGAGCGCACCAGCACTGAAGAGCGCACCCGCGCTCGCCCCTCTTTGCGCTCTCGCTCCTTTATCGGCCGTCGTCGATCGTATTTTTTGCTATTACTTTTGCCTTGTTTTCCTTCTAAGTTAAGTTTTTTAATTCGATGTAAGCAGCCCAATAAAGCTGACCGCGTTATATCCACTGGAAGACGCCCCCGACTTTTTATTCAACATTTCTACTCCTGGAATCTTTTGCGGAACCAACGCCCCCCTACAAAACAACTATAATAACACAATTTTTAACGTTAATTGTAAAATGTCGAAAACATTGTATAACAAAAGATGTTTGAAAAATGATAATTAATATAATTTTTTGTTAATATTGTACTGTAAAGGAAACAAACAGACCGACCCACAAATGGATGGACAAACTAGACACAATTCTTTTGATTGAGAAGGAGAAAAATCGATATAACATTTTAACGGATCAGATCGGGCTGAATGAGATGTCAATCGACGCCAATGTCAATTATTATTAATTTGCACGAGTTAATTATAAATTATTATTTTTTTTCTTATATTTATTTTTAAAAATTCATGACAAAACAAACGTATATGGTCAATGGATTCTTAAAGTAGCTTCTCCAACTAGATATAAACCATTAGTTTTATTTAAATATCTGCATCCCTGAGCTTCTACCAGGGCTGAAAAGTTCATTAACAGATCAGCAGGTTATCGCAAACAAAAAGGCGGAAAGCTGTACACAGACTTTGAACTTTCCGCAATTTGTAATACGGGCACCAATTTTAACGAAACAAAATGGAAAATGTTATTTGTGGTATGTAAAATATAATGTAATGAAACCAATTTGTTATCAACCTTACGTGTTTTTTCTGTGAATTGTTTTCGTGATGTCTTAAAATAGTTAATTCGTATTAAAAGTGTCTGTGCATTATAGAGTGTAACTAATTTTCTGTCACCATTTTAGTTTGCAGAAGTATTAATGTATATTTGTTCTTGATAATCTTATTAAAAACTTGTCGATTAAAGACAAGGTCGAATTCAGCCACTGCACACTTTTTGGGGTTTGGCTGCGCCGCAAAAAAAACAAAGACGCTGTATCTGATTACATTTTGGAAAAACTGAGCATAAAAAATCTTGACTCGGAAGCTAAAAGCAACATTTTGAAAAAAGTCAAGAGTTTCGACATATATTTTAGCCAAAATGTAGCTAAATACAATAGAAATATAGCTCCTCTATAGGTCCATCCTTCAATATAGGTCCACGGACTCCTTTGATACTTTATTGTCCAGCCTTTATCTGAACAAAAGACTATGCAAAAACAAAAAAAAAATTCTCCCACATGATGTAATCAAACTTTTGGAAAGTCCTGCAGTTCTTTTAAATTTGACAAGCGAAAGTACAACTGAAGCTGAACACAGCGACTCCAGCTCCGATTCGAATGATTCTTTTTCATTGGAACTGGACGTAGAAATAATATAACTACTATGAATAATATTAAGTTTTAACATTAAAAACAAAAATAAAATATATAAAATGTCTTTTAATAATATTCATGCGTACATGGGTTTTGTTTAAATTAATGGAATTGGGGGCGGTAGGTGTGGGCGTGGTTATATCGAATTCAAATTTTGGCTATATCCTTGTGGTGATCTTATCATCAATTGTGCCAAGTTACAGCACTGTAGGGTCATTTTTGGATTGTATGCAAAAAAAATCGGTCAATCCGGCCACTGTGCAATGCATTGGTGCAAGAATTTTTTTCCCATCCATGTGGGTGCACTGAAAAATAAAATTATAGTCACATTTACAAGGGGTCTAAAAAAATCAATATATAAAAATAACATTTTATTACAGCAATGAAAAAAAGGACCTACATTTTTTACAACAGCTTATTATTATACTATGACAAATATGCAGTGCTTATTACTTTAAAAAAAATGTTCTGCGAAGAACAAATTCATCGCTTCAGGTCTACCATTTTGGCAGAAACAAAAACAAGAATGAATTTCTTGCAGTGAAAAGTTTTCGGCACTGCAACAACAAAATTCATTCGGATTAGCACGACTAAGGAGAATAGGGAAAACACGAAAAATTTTTATTGTACTTGCCCTTTGCCTATGCTGGGACCAACGAAGCTTATGGCGTGAGCAGTCACGCACAACTCCGTTATGTATGAGCATTTGCAAAAACAAATGAGCAGCGAGAGCAATGGGATGAGCCACACTGGTATAGAGCCTCAAATGGTGCAACATTAATTTGAACTCATTTTTCTCAAAACAAAAGTTAGTGGTATCGCTTTCTCGAAAATAAATAAAGAAACTGATCGGTCTAACATTTTTCAGCAGCGCTATTTTTGGCAAAATAATACGACATGCCAAATTTTATAAGGATCGGCCGACTATATCCTATAGCTTCCATATAACTGAACGATCGGAAGTGACCCAAACTTCGTTTTTTTGAAAAAAGAAAGCTGGAACTTGGTACAGATTATATTTTTTGTCAGTTAATCCGACCTACCAAATTTCATAACGATCGGTCGACTATATCTTATAGCTCCCATATAACTGAGCGATCGGAAATGGTTTTTGGTAGAAATATCAACTTTGGTATTTTTGAAGAAAGGAGTTTAGGACTTTTTTTTAGATTTCTTATTATAATAAATTGGGTTATATTCTCATAAGGATCGCCCAACTATATCCGATGTTTGCGATATATATCCGGTTTCAACTGCAAGGGTATATGAACTTCGGCTCCGCCCGAAGTTAGCTTTCCTTTCTTGTTTATTTATTTTTTTAAAGTTTTCAATTTTATTTGAATTTAATTTCTCCCCTTGTACATGTATGCACATGCTAAAGCAAGTCTCCCGCCCAATGTCAGTAACCGTGGGTAAAAGGAGTCACCAGAGTTGATCTCAAGGATGGTGATCATAAGTTGGGATGGCAAATCGTGACCATATCTACACCAGTGGTATCTCTTCGTTCACACTTTCGTTCACCCTATACCCATTTCTACTCTCTCTGTTAAAAATTGGAACTTCTATAAATTTCTACCGGTTCTATCTTGCCATTAATTTGTCGCTAGCACGCTCAATTAATATGTAACTTGAGCCGACGAGCAAGAGCCGGACTCTATAGCAAGCAAAAGTCCTTCTCAACACAGCTTAGCAATGACTATGATATGCACAGAGAGTGTGACCCGACTAGACATATGCGAAGCTAAAGCTCAAGAAAGCGGAGAGGGCGGTCTGACATAGACATTGCTAAGCTAGAGCTCTCTTAAAATAGGCCTATGGAAGTCGAGCGGCCGAGAAAAAGTCGACTTGCGACCAACTAAGGCGATATGTCCGTACTTTAGCTTCATAAATAAACTAAATTAATTTAGCGGCTGCTGCCTTACCCGACATTGACTATATATATATATAATATTTACAAAAAATTTAAAATGGGTTTGGACCGAAAGCCTACATGCCCCCTTTGCAAGACAGAGTTAGAAAGGCAGCCGAATTTTTTAGAACACCTTGTAATCACGATTTTTATAGGCGGTGCATAGAGTCTCATTTTCAGTGGTCTATCTGAGAGTAAAGCGTCAAATGCGCGCGGAACCCGTTCAAGATCTCGCATTCAACAGTCGGCCGGGGAGAAGAACACTTCCAGTGGCGGATCTAGGGTTGCTGGCGCTAGGGGCAAAGCGAAAAATTCCGCCCCCTCCCTGTTTGCTGCACGAATAACATTAGGAGTATTTTAAGTGTAAGTAGGTTATTAATTATTAAAAGCTTATATGTTTGAAAAATTGTATTTCATATCGATACGTTTGTCAGTAACAACGGAAAAAAACATTATTTGTGTTTTTGCAAGACAAAAAAATATTACTTTTAGAATATAACTTGTTTGGGCTTGATTGCCGCAAATTCAGCAATAATATCATTGTAGTCGAGTGATGCTGCTACTTCATTTTCGATAGATTATTATTATATGGCCATGACAACCCTTTTATCGGGTCTCGGCCTGAAGCGCAATGTGCCTCCACGCGTCTCTGTCCTCAGCGCGCCTTCGCCAGTTGGTAACCCCAACTGTGGACAGGGTTTCCATCACCTGGTCTTGCCAACGCGTTTGGGGTCGTCCTCTCCTTCGTGTCCCAACAATCACCGCATCAAACACCTTACGAGCCGGAGCGTCTTCACCCATACGGGCAACGTGGCCCAGCCAGCGAAGTCTTTGAGATTTCACTCGACTGGCTACGTCAACATCACCGTACAGCTCATACAGCTCGTGGTTGTATCGGATGCGATAAACATCGTCTACGTAGATTGGACCAAAGATTTTTCGAAGAATTTTCCTCTCGAACACTCTAAGAGCAGCTGCATCTGACTGCGTCACTGTCCAGCACTCCGCACCATATAGAAGTACTGGAAGAATGAGCGTTTTGTAGAGTGTGGTTTTTGTGCGTCGACAGAGAGCTCTACTATTAAACTGCCTACTGAGCCCAAAGTAACACCTGTTGGCAAGTGTTATTCTCCGCTTAATCTCCAGACTGACATTATTTGTGCTTGTTATAGCAGTGCCTAGGTAGATAAACTCCTTGACGGACCCAAAGCTATAGTTCTGCAGTCAGCTGAGAATCAAGACGCCGCGATTCTCTGCTAGAACACACCATAAACTTTGTTTTCTCCATATTCACTGCTAGTCCTACTTTTGCAGATTCCTTTTCAATAGCCCCGAAGGCTCCTGTAACATCATGCTTGGTGCGGCCAATGATATCAATATCATCAGCGTGACCAAGGAGCTGGACACATCTGTTGGTTAATATCGTGCCCGTCCGATGTACACCAGCCTTTCTTATAATACTCTCCATTAAAATATTGAAGAGTATACAAGACAGCAAGTCACCTTGTCTGAGGCCGCACTTGGTAGTAAAGGTTTCGGATGGGCCACTTCCTACCTTGACAGAGCTGATGGTGTTGCTCAATGTCATTTTGCAAAGTCTAGTCAGCTTTGCTGGTATACCAAGCTCAGACATGGCGGCATATAGGCGATCTCGCCGGGTGCTATCAAATGCGGCTTTGTAGTCGACGAAGAGATGGTACGTGTCGATCTGGTTTTCGTAATACTTCTCCAGGATTTGGCGCAAGGTGAAAATCTGGTCAACAGTGGACTTGCCAGGCCTGAACCCGCACTGATAAGGTCCAATCAATGCTTCAGCATGGGGTTTCAGTCTTTCACATAATACGCTCGTTAGGACCTTGTATGCAACTGGAAGAAGACTAATTCCGCGGTAGTTGGTGCGCACCGTGGCATCACCCTTCTTCAGGATGGGACAGATCATGCTGAGGTTTCAATCTTCGGGCATGCTCTCCGTGAGCCATATCTTACTGATTAGTTGGTGCATGCTCCCTACCAGCATATTACCAGCTGCCTTAAACAATTCTGCCGGCAGGCCATCAGCACCTGCAGACTTGTTGTTTTTAAGCCGTTGGATTGCATCCTTGACTTCGATATGACTTGGGATTGGCACTTCAATATCAGTGCCATAGATTGGGGTTCGTGGATCATAGTCTTCAGAGTCTGTGCTTGAGCCAGATAACAGACTCGAGAAGTGATCCCTCCATAACCTCAGCACGACCTCAGCTTCTGTGACAAGATTTCCATCATCGTCCCTGCACGCCATTGCACCAGTCTTAAATCCTAAATCCATATCGCTTATGTCTTTAGGTATTGAAGGTGCTCGGCTTAATATCCCCGAGACGTGAGTGGAGAATGCATTCTTTGCCTGTTGTGATTGCAGCTTTTCGATGTCCGGTCTTCTTAACGCACTTCGACGTGCAATCTCGCCACACATAGCCGTGTGCAAATCTTAGCTGCAACAAGATAATGGTCGGAGTCGATGTTGCCATAAGCTCGGTCGAGCTCCGCATAGAAAGCGTCCTTAGTGGCATCATCCTTTTCCTCCGTTGGGGCATGTGCGCATATCAGGCCGATGTTAAAAAATTTGGCAGTAATTCGGATCGTTGGAATTCTCTCGTTTGTTGGCCGAAAGTGAGAGACTCGGCGCCGCATCCTGGCACCTACAACGAAACCTCAACCAAATTCATGGCGTTCTGGATGATAGCTGTAGTCGCAGTTCTTCTTCTTTATGCAGCCTTGTCCTATCCATCGCATTTCCTGGATAGCAGTGATGTCAGCCCTACATTTGTTGAGGGTAACTGCTAGTTGTTAAGCAGCACCAGGTCTGTACAATGTTCGTACGTTCTTCTTCTTTATGCAGCCTTGTCCTATCCATCGCATTTCCTGGATAGAAGTGATGTCAGCCCTACATTTGTTGAGGGTATCTGCTAGTTGTTAAGCAGCACCAGGTCTGTACAATGTTCGTACGTTCCAGGTGCATACTCTCAAATCATTGTCCTTTTTACGCTTTCTATGGTCGTCAACGTTAGAACGGTTCCTTTCCGAGGCTTCTCTTGCTTCCTTCACTGAAATTGTGTTTTACATGGGTAGATTTCAATCGTACGCCAAAACCTAGTTTGTAGAGTTAGGACTCTCGTCGCGCGCTTTACTTTGCCACTCAATGGCTGTCGAGCGACAATCCAGGGAGAACCACGTGGAGGTAGTGCGTCGGCTTGAAGAAAGCAGTGACAGGAATCATGCTGGCATTCACCAAGTTGAATGCAATCAGACACTTTAACCTTTATTCTTTCCCCCACTCTCCCCCATTTTCGACAGATAGTATAGCTAAATTTGACAGCCTGTCTTGGTTCATGGTTGTGCGGAGATAAGATTTTATCAATTTCAGTTTACTGAATGATCGCTCACACAAAGCCACGGACAATGGTAGAGTCAGCAAAATTTTCAATGCCATCACAAGTGTTTTGTACGCCTCTAACCCCGACGATGAAATATACAATAGTATTCCTTTTGGAGTGAGATCAAGACTTTCTCCCTTTTTATTGGCACTTTTCAGAAGAAAAATTACATCTTTAATATCGTGAAACAATTCCGTACCATTTGAATCATTAGAATAAATTTCTGCTAATGATTGGCATTTGTCGTTAACTTCCAATAGTTTTCTATTCAAAACTTCTTTATCGTCATCAAGATATTCTTTGAAGTTGAAGAAAAATCCGAAGCGCTCATTCAGCACTCTCAAGCTAGCAAAGCAAGTATTAACTTCGATTGAAAGGCTGTCCAAAATTTCAACTAAAAAGCGTCGTTTTTGTGTTTTCCACGCCTAATTTGCCGCGGGAAAATATGAATTCTCGAAACATATATTGCTAGTCGGACTCGATTTAGCGCCTCTTAGGATTGGCGCCCGGGGCGCTTGCCCCTTTCGAAGCCCCCCACAGAGGGGCAACTTCTGGAGGCGGGACGCGTCGGTGCGGAGGAGGTTGGAGGCATCTTCTTCCAATGGGGCTAGGGTGTAGCCATGGGATCACCGAAAGGCGTGGAGAGGAAGACCCCAGGAGATCCCAAGTAAACCGAGGGCGCGAAAAAAGCCAGCCGACGCTAAAACTATCCTGACAATGCTTAGGATGTGCAATTCGACGCTTCCAACGGCGGACTGGAGAGGCCCCAAGGTCGAGGAGGCGGTAGGACTGCGGAGGCAGGTCGTCCTCACGCTCAACGAGGAGACCGTGAAAGCCCTGGAAAGGTCGGAGCACTGGATTAAGTATGGATTTGAGCATGCGATGGTCCGTATTTAAAATCTGATGCAAAGAGCAAACTAGGAGGAATCGGGAGAGAATCAAGACGCCGCGATTCTCTGCTAGAACACACCATAAACTTTGTATTCTCCATATTCACTGCTAGTCCTACTTTTGCAGATTCCTTTTCAATAGCCCCGAAGGCTCCTGTAACATCATGCTTGGTGCGGCCAATGATATCAATATCATCAGCGTGACCAAGGAGCTGGACACATCTGTTGGTTAATATCGTGCCCGTCCGATGTACACCAGCCTTTCTTATAATACTCTCCATTAAAATATTGAAGAGTATACAAGACAGCAAGTCACCTTGTCTGAGGCCACACTTGGTAGTAAAGGTTTCGGATGGGCCACTTCCTACCTTGACAGAGCTGATGGTGTTGCTCAATGTCATTTTGCAAAGTCTAGTCAGCTTTGCTGGTATACCAAGCTCAGACATGGCGGCATATAGGCGATCTCGCCGGGTGCTATCAAATGCGGATTTGTAGTCGACGAAGAGATGGTACGTGTCGATCTGGTTTTCGTAAGACTTCTCCAGGATTTGGCGCAAGGTGAAAATCTGGTCAACAGTGGACTTGCCAGGCCTGAACCCGCACTGATAAGGTCCAATCAATGCTTCAGCATGGGGTTTCAGTCTTTCACATAATACGCTCGTTAGGACCTTGTATGCAACTGGAAGAAGACTAATTCCGCGGTAGTTGGTGCGCACCGTGGCATCACCCTTCTTCAGGATGGGACAGATCATGCTGAGGTTTCAATCTTCGGGCATGCTCTCCGTGAGCCATATCTTACTGATTAGTTGGTGCATGCCCTACCAACATATCACCAGCTGCCTTAAACAATTCTGCCGGCAGGCCATCAGCACCTGCAGACTTGTTGTTTTTAAGCCGTTGGATTGCATCCTTGACTTCGATATGACTTGGGATTGGCACTTCAATATCAGTGCCATAGATTGGGGTTCGTGGATCATAGTCTTCAGAGTCTGTGCTTGAGCCAGATAACAGACTCGAGAAGTGATCCCTCCATAACCTCAGCACGACCTCAGCTTCTGTGACAAGATTTCCATCATCGTCCCTGCACGCCATTGCACCAGTCTTAAATCCTAAATCCATATCGCTTATGTCTTTAGGTATTGAAGGTGCTCGGCTTAATATCCCCGAGACGTGAGTGGAGAATGCATTCTTTGCCTGTTGTGATTGCAGCTTTCCGATGTCCAGTCTTCTTAACGCACTTCGACGTGCAATCTCGCCACACATAGCCGTGTGCAAATCTTAGCTGCAACAAGATAATGGTCGGAGTCGATGTTGCGACCCCGATAGGATCGCACGTCGAGTATATTAGATGCGTGCCTTGCATCGATCACAACATGATCGATCTGATTTCTGGTCAGTCGATCGGGAGAGAGCCAAGATGCTTTATGGATGTCCAAATGACGGAATCCAGTTCTACGAACCACCATATTATGCGCAGCTGCAAAGCCTATTTATCTGAGACCATTGCTCGAGGTGGTCTCATGTAGACTAAATCGCCCGACGGTGGCACCAAAGATGTCTTCTCGCCCTACCTTGGCATTAAAATCCCCGAGGAGAATTTTAATGCCATGGGAGGGACAGCGGCCATAAGCTCGGTCGAGCTCCGCATAGAAAGCGTCCTTAGTGGCATCATCCTTTTCCTCCGTTGGGGCATGTGCGCATATCAGGCCGATGTTAAAGAATTTGGCAGTAATTCGGATCGTTGGAATTCTCTCGTTTGTTGGCCGAAAGTGAGAGACTCGGCGCCGCATCCTGGCACCTACAACGAAACCTCAACCAAATTCATGGCGTTCTGGATGATAGCTGTAGTCGCAGTTCTTCTTCTTTATGCAGCCTTGTCCTATCCATCGCATTTCCTGGATAGCAGTGATGTCAGCCCTACATTTGTTGAGGGTAACTGCTAGTTGTTAAGCAGCACCAGGTCTGTACAATGTTCGTACGTTTTTCTTCTTTATGCAGCCTTGTCCTATCCATCGCATTTCCTGGATAGAAGTGATTTCAGCCCTACATTTGTTGAGGGTATCTGCTAGTTGTTAAGCAGCACCAGGTCTGTACAATGTTCGTACGTTCCAGGTGCATACTCTCAAATCATTGTCCTTTTTACGCTTTCTATGGTCGTCAACGTTAGAACGGTTCCTTTCCGAGGCTTCTCTTGCTTCCTTCACTGAAATTGTGTTTTACATGGGTAGATTTCAATCGTACGCCAAAACCTAGTTTGTAGAGTTAGGACTCTCGTCGACAATCCAGGGAGAACCACGTGGAGGTAGTGCGTCGGCTTGAAGAAAGCAGTGACAGGAATCATGCTGGCATTCACCAAGTTGAATGCAATCAGACACTTTAACCTTTATCCTTTCCCCCCACTCTCCCCCATTTTCGACAGATAGTATAGCTAAATTTGACAGCCTGTCTTGGTTCATGGTTGTGCGGAGATAAGATTTTATCAATTTCAGTTTACTGAATGATCGCTCACACAAAGCCACGGACAATGGTAGAGTCAGCAAAATTTTCAATGCCATCACAAGGGTTTTGTACGCCTCTAACCCCGACGATGAAATATACAATAGTATTCCTTTTGGAGTGAGATCAAGACTTTCTCC